AGGTCGTCCTCGTCGGTGAGCGCGCTCTCGCGCGCGCACGCAACCTCCGTCCCGTCGTGCCGCAGCCACCGCCGGTAGATGTAGTCGTAGCCCGCCTCACGCACGGCCGCGAGCAGCTCCGGAGAGATGTCGCGCAGCACGCGGAGCCCGTTGGCGTAGAGGCCGACGGCGCCGCCCGCGTTGTCAGTGAAGGCGGTCGCCTGCGGACGGGGCAAAGGCGGGGTGAGGGCCCCGAAGCCTCGCTCTGTGGGCTGGGTGGGCTTGCAAGGCGGGCTCGAGATTGCGGCGGCGGCGCCGCGCCTGCTCGTACACCTCGATGGAGGAGCCGTCGATGCCGCAGTGCTTCTGTAGCGCGAGCGCAAGCGTCAGGCCGCCGATGCCGGCGCCGGCGATGAGCACCGTGGCTGGTGTTTCCATATATCAAAGATAAGGCGCGTCGGCCGAGTCCCACGGCGCTTCGCACCGGGAGCTTGTCGAAGGGGGGGACGAGGCGCCAAGAGATGCAACGGCTCGCCACCGGCGGGGCGGGGCGGTCGCCGCAACTTTCACGCGCGACCTTTATCATCGTTGACCGCAGCGCCCATGTCGAAACGTGGGCTGGATGCGAGACTCCTTGCCCATGTGCCCGAATGCTGCGCTGCGGTGCACCGTCCTCCCATCCCTCGCTTCGCTGTCTGCTTTCTTTTAGCTTTCTTTCTTTCTCGCCCTAAAATTCTTTCTTTCTTTCTTTCTGCGGCGCTGTGTCGGCTGAGGTGGTTTCAGAGGATGTAAAGTGTAGAGCGAGGAGGGTGCGCGGCGAACCAGTTTAGACCAGTTTAGACCACTGCTAAAACACGTAACCAGATTAGTCCTGTTTACGATAAACTGGGTCTAATGTAAACCTGGTGTTTCTAATGGGTCCTCCCCCCCCCCCCCCCCCCCCGGGGGGGAGGGGGGACCTTTTCTGGAAAACCCTCCGAACCACCCAAGGGGGCCGGCCGGTAAAACCCCGGGATACCCCAAAAATTTCAGGGATCCCCCAAAAAAACCCCAAGCGGAACATGAGGAGCCCCTCCTGACCTTTTAAGAACCCGGGGACCTGCTGGGCATTGTGGAAGCCCCCCTGCTCCTGCCCGAAGGGTTCAAAGGTGTCCCGGCCCCCCCCAAAGAAGAACAACTTGAACCCAACAAACCGGGCAGGGAAGCGCTTATTGAGGAAGGCAACATGGGCCGCTTTCAGGACTAACGGTGGGGGGTGGGCACCGTTACCGGCCAAGGGAAAAAAGGGCGGGGCACG